TATAGAATCTTAACATAATTAATATTGATTTAAATTTATTTTATTAAATTTTTATTTATAAATTTATAAATTTTATAAATTTTATAATTTTATAAATTTTATAATTTTATAAATTTTAAATCTATTAGTTTCACTTTACCTTTTATACACCATAACGGGAATTATAGTTGGTTATATCTGTGATTATGCGATTAGTCAACTAAAAATTCGCGTTTTAACTGTTCGTATTAGTCATCATTTAAACATTAGCTAAAAAAGAAAGTTCATAAAATGGATTGTTTTTTTTTGGTTTTAATACCGAGACGTTTCTAGCTCCTGACTAGAGTTTGGAACCGGTTTTATTTTTCATATGTAAAAACCGATAAAACCGATTCCAAACTCTACTCCTGACTAGTGGTTACCGATTCCAGCATTAAAGCATCGAATTCGTCATTGTGCGTATCACTTATACGTAATTCTCCATTCCATTGTTAGTTTTTGATTTTTTTTTTTTTGATTTTTCTGATCTTTTCGCATGCTAAATAATCAATAATTTATGATAAAAATAACGTTTTGAACAAAGCTTTACGATCACGGGAATGTCCCAAATCTAGTGACCTGATGCATGTTCACATTGAATCTAAAAACGATTTTGAGATTTTCATAAACCTGACAGTGTAATTGTATATTCTTAAACTTTGAAACTCTGTTTTTTACATACAAATAAGTCATACCTGCATACATGCTCTTGTCTAAAAGGATCGTGGGCTTAAAGTTAATGAAGTATATACTACTTACGCTTGGCATGTGTAGTGTTTTCAGTCAAAAATTGTAAATATTTGAATATTCAGACAAACATAAAATTTAAACTTAAACCTTGCGATATTGTATTGCATAGCCTTATATTATTTTCATAAATATTTTGACAAAAAAATACAGCATTTTCTTTATTGTTGTTGAGACGTGTTTTCTAAATTTGCATGTGGCACAGGTCTGCTAAATTTGCAAACCTTACAGGTTTTTATTTCGATTGATTATATTTAAGAGATGTGTAATTTTATTGGTATTTTTTGTTGTTTTTTTTTGAATTCACATTAACAAATATATATTTTTATTGCTATCGCTATGTTAGATTTGGTAATTAAAACAGCTTGAGTTAGAATTGAATATAAACAAACATAATAGAGAAATTCTATATATATTTTTTAAAGTGACCTTTTATTCTGTAATTCCTAACTGTATATGAACAGTATTACATAACTTAGGGTATTTATACTTGAGGTATACTTTACCTAGTAGGGTTTACTTTCTTTTTAAAACCCATTCAAGTTTTTATGTTAATTATATGTCAGAATATTTTTATTATATGTCAAACTATCCTTATTAATATCCTATATAGCATTAACAATTAATTTCTGAATGACATTCAGAATATAAATTGTAAATGCAATATAAAATTAATTTTAGCTTGAAATTGAAGATTTATAATAATCTTAAACCATATTACATATAGAGAAATGTTCTTAACAAATTTGGTTATAGTACATATGTATTTATATTATGCCTACAATAAATCACGACTATTTTCTATCAATCAAATATTACCTCATCACCAGCCCAATAAACAAAAAATGAGACCCCAATTATATGACATAAGGAACACTACCCCAAATTATATTCCAATTATTATCAGTAACCTCTAATATCCAACCAGTTAATGCTACCCCCCAAAAAGCAGGAATTAACCCACAAGTACTTCCCAAACCATATAGTACGCCCGCATATTTCGGTACAATATCTAACTGTAACTAACAAGAGTTTATGAATAAATAAATAAATTAATTAATTACATGAGATACATTTAAACCCGAGATATTGAATGAATATAATGCATATCCTATTGACATTATCAATAATCCTTGATGAGGTGTTTTTGCCCAATATGTTAACTATAAATTATATATACGTAAAAAAAAATTTAAAGATAAATAAAACAAAAAAATTTTGTTATGCTTACAAGTAATAGTGATAATGACATTCCAAAGCCTCCAATTGTACAAACAGATTTTCGTACAGTTAAAACGCGAATTTTTAGTTGATTAATTGCATAATCGCATATAAAACCAACTATAATTCCCGTTATGGTGTATAAAAAGTAATGTAAAGCTAATAGATTTAAAATTTAGAATATAATAAAATTTATAAAATTTAATAAATTTATAAGTTTATAAATAAAAATTTCATAAAATATATTTAAATAAATATTAATAATGTTAAGATTTTATACCAAAGTAATATCCAATTAGATTAATATCAACATGAAAATGTTCATAATAAAATATTGGTAACCAATTATATTGAACAGAAATGCTCCAACCATGAAACAATGGACCAAGCATTGTTGCCCATACTTCACGACGAGAAAACAACAATTTCCAAGGAATCTTTTGTATTTTATGTGATCTTGATGATATTTGATCCTTTGGTAATAACATATCATTTTCACTTCGAGAAAGACCAAGATTGTTGTCGGAAATAGTAACATATTCACTGGAACATGGTTGATTGTGACTTATTTGATTTTCAGAAAAATCAGTAAATTTATCGGTCGATTTACTAATAGTCAATTTCTTTCCTAAAATCCAATCTAATTCATCTTTGCTGATTCCTGAATAATCTCTGGGATCACTTTTCCCATAAAAATGCCAAAAAACGGACCAAATAAAACCAATAATTGAGAATACCCAAAAAATACTTTCCCAACCAAACTGACTAGAACCCAATAAATTTGAAATTGGCATGGCAATTACTATACTGAAATAAGATGAAACAGATATTACAGAAACAACTCTAGTTCGTTCCTGAGGTGGAAACCATTTTGAAATTAAAGAGTGGATACATGGACAACATACACCTTCACCAATTCCTAAACAAATCCTACACAGTATAAGCATGTGTAAATTTATTCTGGCAGAAATTGGTGTAAGTAAAGTAAAGAGAGACCAACTTGCGGCAGCTAAAAAATAAGTAGATAAATATTTCAGAAATAATCAAATTAGAATAATTTATTATTAAGTTGTTATAATCTAAAATCTACAGACCTATACCCAATACCACCTTACCACCGAATTTATCGGTTAGTGCACCACCTATAATCTGGGTCATAAAATTTCCGAAATAAAATGATGATGATATGAAGCCTTGTATCTTAGGACTCCAATTGAATTCCTCAGACATATAAACTATGGCTATAGCCATATTTGATCGATCTTTATGAAAGTAATGAATAAATAATTGTGAATGAATTTACCAATTTTTTTTTCTTTAAAAAAATAAAGAATTAACATTGGAATATACCAGCAAAATTTATCATCATAGCAAAAATACAAAGAATAATAATTATTATTCTCTTTGGGATGTAATTAGGCCACCAGTTACTAAATTTTTAAATGAATTAGAAGATAAATAAAACATACTATACACTTTTGAAACTAAATAACATACGTGAGTTTTGATGCCATAATGAATCTAGTAAAAAGAGTTACGTATAAACTATTAATTTGCACAATAAAATTTAATAAGTTTAAAAGATTTTGATTTGCACAGTAGATTATAATGAATATAAAATATTACTGATTTACACAGTAATTTATTATATTATAATTCTAGAGGACTTAATAATTTCACAGTAGTTTATATAATGTAAATTTCGATACAATAACGATAATTATAGTACTGGGTACAGTACATAGCGATAGTGAACATATTCTGCACATTCAATTTAATACAATAAGGAGCTTCAAAATTAATAAATAATTGACGCATTTCGAAAATAAGTAGAATTTTATCAATAGCATTTTTACTATGTTGAATTATATAAATCGAAAAAGTAAAATAAATTTCTGAGATAATATTCTTTGATTCACATAAAAGACATTTGACCATCACTATAATAAGCTAATCGTTAACTCAAACTTTATTCACTTAAGAATAATGATGAAAGAGTTCAGATGATTGTTGGCTGATGTTGAAACCTGACTGACGATTAATTAGTATTAATTAATTTTATCGGTTTTTAAGTTTTATACTATTAAGGGATGGAGCGATATGTAATATCACGAAGTAACTAAATAACTAGTTGGACAATGCGGGAAATGCAATAAAACGTGAAATTCTGCACGTAATCTTTAAGATATTACATCACATGACACTATATTTATATGTAATATGAGATTCTTTTAGCCATATGAACGCACGAACTTGTATCTTATCGTTTTTGACAGGTTTTACCTCAATTAAGATATACGACAATCATTTATTAAAAACTAGATAGTGTTACGTATGAGCAAACTGTGACCCTCAAGACCTAGAGAAATTAACGCGAAACGATACACGAACGTTACGCAAGAAAATCGCCGAGAAACTGAATGACGATATCCATACAATGTATGCACAAGCCAAGCCCCATTGGAAAACGCCGTAGATCTCATTGAGAGAAATAGCACTTACCTGATTTGGTTTGACAGATGTCAAGGCAATATTACCTTGTCTGGATAAGTGTGTGGCTGTGGTAGATGAAATTTCAAGGCAATATTACCTTGTCTGGATAAGTGTGTGGCTGTGGTAGATGAAATGCGATTGTGTCAATGGGTGGGGGAAAGATGATGCAACGAAAATGGTATACCAGTACGATCATATGAAATATGTGAGGGATGGTTCCGTTCAACTTTTTGGTGAGCTATATTTTTTCCTATT